GAATCCGACTGTAATCGTCCTCAGCAGGCTAGGAGATGAGGACAGCTGATTGTTTCCCAAATTAAGGATGCTTTGGTTGGGGTTCCCCCAAAATTATGGATGGAAGTATTTGGGGGTCTAGGTCGGGGTTCCCCGGTCTATGGAATCCCCCATTTCCCGTTTCTCGGAGCATCCACAAGTTCTACTCGCACCTACTTCAGGCTGAGTGTACGGTTTCAGGCTTGGGTTGCATTTTAAGAACATTGGGTTGAGGTGTTACGATGATTTTGGGTCCAGGTTTCAGCGTCAGAGTATGGTGCAGGCTTGACGAAACACCTCGCAGCACATGTGAAACACACGGAGGAACAGTGTGAACAGTAGGAGCCGATGACACTGTGGACATTGGCCTGGGATCTCTTCCTAACAACATATGTGGCTCAACAGGTAGCCTGACACCCGGATGAGGAGTTTTTCCCGGCATGGCCCAGATACTACTGGGCCATCCACAGCTGGCGGCTGAGCAACAGGAGCAGAAGCAACATAGTCAGGGCAGAACGTAGAATGTGAAATTTAGCCTCCGGGACAAGATGAAGAGCAATCATGATAAGGATAATTGCAGTCACGGTGTGCACCGAAGCCGTGATAATAAGATGTGTGAACCCTGGGCGCGAGACAATGCTAGTAGAGTGAAACGAGGTAAGTCTCATGCTGGCGCTAAGACCTCTGTACCCCAGAAGTAACACGTCTCCAAAAGGCTTGACCTCAAGATATTCGCTGTTCAGAAGCAATCAAAGCTGCTTGGACAGAGATTGCACAGTCCCGGTCCCTGCCAAGCCTTTTTTCTGAACCTAGATTTCTGCAACCCCGAACGACTTTGCAATACGGCAAGTTAGATGTCAAAGGCTCCTCTAAGGACACCTCCATAGATGCGCTCAACACGAATACTGAGAGTTTGTCAAATCCATTCACAAGATCTACATCCTATGGATGCTGCCCCTGCGGGATACTCCGAAGAGGCACTTAAACTTGACAACAGCCTGTGTACTTCACACAGCTCATACATGTACAGCTAGATCCGTGTGCTTGAACGTGCTGACCACCCCTGTAGTACAGAAAAGGACACCAACAACGAAACAAAACAGTGGATACGAAAAATCCAGCATGACACTAGATATCATAAACCTTGGGAATTATGGTATTCTAGTGTACTAGGGTCATGCAGGATGTGTAATATCAACAGAATCAGTACCTCATAGAATCCCTCTCCAACCTGGGCTGGATTCCTATACTGTCTTTACACCAGCCCCTATATGACACCATGTAATTCAGTAGGTTCCATTCCTTTGTTGTCATTCTTTGATCCCCTATAACTGGCAAGCAGCCCAAATATCGTTTTGTTGTCTATATATGGTACCTCATACTTTTCTCATACCAAGAAACCAGGACCAACATAATGGTAATTTCTCAAGCCCTAAAGTAGCCTGTGTGCAGCTCCCAGGCACCAGCAGCCCCCAAATCGACGCCGATTCAGCGAGCGAGGATGAAGCCGCTTAAACAGCAGCGACGTAGGCACGGGCACAGGTCGAGGGTTTACTTTGGGTACTGCCCCCCTTCAGTAACAGCCGGATAATAATTATCATATGGTTATGTATAGCCCTTAATAGGACCTCTAATATAAACTGTTACTGGGTGGGGGCAGTACCCAGGGTTTACTGTACCTAGACCTCCCCAACACCAACAATACTAACCATTACTACCACTATTTGTGTAAACGGCTATTGCTATGGGCATATGTGAGGTCTAGCCAGGGTTTTCGAAGGCGAAAAAGGTCTGTGTGAGTCTTCTTCCCTCCCGCCTAGCTCAGTAAAGGGAAAGCAGAGGTCCAGTGTTACTGTACTCAGGGGGTTTAAGGTTTAGGCTTTAGGCCCACCCTAAACCCTGAACCCTAAGATGAGTAGTCAGACCATACTTAGTATTCTCCGGCTCAGCCTTCTGAGGGTCTCATTACTTCTCGTCTGAGCTGACACTCTAGGACTCTTCCCTACGTATCCCTGTGATGTAGTAGTTTCCATTGTCTTTTCCAGTATCCCTGTACTAACCCAATATAACCCCTATATAACCCTACATCTTATAGTGGTTTCCATTTTGTTTTCCGTTATCCCTAAAATATACCATATTACTTCCCTGTCAGAGGCCGGGGAGCAAGACGCTTTGGGTTTTTAGGAGTGTTCAGGGCCCGGTCCTGGACGTAGGGAGTTGGTTATATTTCGGGCTATTTTGGGGATTTATTGGGACAATGAACAAGAAAATGGAAACTACTATAAGATATAGGTTAATATAGGTGTTATATAGGGATAATGAAAAAGAAAATAGAAACTACTATAGTATATTGGGACTTCGATATGAAGGAGCGGAGACTTTTTCACGGGCCCAGAAGATGGCTGGGCCTCCATTTGGGTTTGTGAGGATTTGGGGCTATCAGATTTAGGGATCTATCATGATGCCAATCGGAAAATTCAGCAATGTACTCTCAGTGTTTCGAAAGGAGTGAGCCCTCGCAATTGAAAAGGCCACGAGGATAACTTGCTCAGTCCAAACGCAAGTGGACACATGATCTTCACCACAAGCGCGGGGCCCAATAAACACCCCGGAGCACAAAGCCTACTTACTTTGAATCTCATGCCAGCTATACCATGTTATAGCATTTAAAGGCCTGGCCATTGGGCTGTTTTAGGTACAGCTTTACTGAGTGTATAAAGAGGAGAAGGTCCACCAACAATTCGAGTGAATCGAGCAAAAAATGTCCGGATGACGAGCGGACGTTCTCTCAAAAGGGTTGCATCATGGATGCAACCCTCTACTCTATTCTTTTGCTGGAAACATGCAGTTTTCCTCATTATGCGGTCTCCTAGAGCAAGGACACCCCCACATATGTTAAAAACAAACCTTTGCCTTTCAAGCGTATACGTATAATAATATATATATATATGTCTATCTACGTCTACAACCCCATATATCTTCAATAACCCTACATAGTCTGTATGTTCTCTCTCCAAAACGGACCCCTAATGTCTAGACGCCGCTCATCTTTTGCTCGGCTGCAGTTTCGCGTGGCCTGCGGCAAAGCCCCTGTCAGCCAGGTTCATGCCAAAATACTTACTGGGGGCCAGTGGGGAATAAGGGAATGTGAGGGTATTAAAGCGATTATGGAAAAGCAAATGCAAGCAACCATTTAGGTTGAGGGCTCAGGCCTTAATTAGTATGGGAAAGGGAAATAAAATCCTACATAAACGCTATATAATACGTTCCCGTGTTCCCTACTAATCCGCCGGTAAGGCTAGTCCTTCTCCCCTACTTTCCCGGTAACAAATACCGCCAATCTAGTACCAAAATGCAATATAGTGGGAGTACCATATGCATCATTAGATGTTGCGGGCTCGACATTTGGGCGAGGGAACTATATCGGGGTTGGCAATTAAGGCCTTCGCGCGAATGCGCGTGAGTGAATTATATCGGGGGCTCCAGCATCAGAAGTGCCTGTCTGGGTGGCTGTATATCCGATGACAATTGGATAACCACATTCGCTGCCATCCTCTTTCATTCAACTGCTGGCACCGCCGCTGCTGATGTCGCTGCCGCTGCCGCTGCCGCTGCCGCTGCCGCTGCCGCTGCCGCTGCCGCTGCCGCTGCCGCTGCTGCTGCTGCTGCTGCTGCTGCGAACGCCACGACCATTCTGACCACTCCTACTACTGCTGCTACTGCTGCTGCTGCTGCTACTACTACTACTACTACTGCTACTACTACTACTGCTGCAGCTGCTCCTCCTCCTCCTACTGCTGCCACCACCACCACCACGACGACGACTACTACTACGACTACTACTACTACTACTACTACTAGTAGCCACTACTACTACTACTACTACTACGACTACTACTACTACTACTACTACTACTAGTAGCCACTACTACTACTAC